TGCCAGAAAGATGTCAGACTTCAAGTCTTCAACCCCGAAACTGAAACGAACTAAGTTGTCCATGATCCCATACTTGGCTCTATCCAACTGGGACAGATCCCTGTTACCAGATCAAATTCACGACACTTAAACCATCATCATCAAAAGACTAGCATGCCTTGACACACAGAATCTACAGCTATTAAATGGCTCGGTTAAGCCATCCGGCTGCTGAATAGCAATTCAGCATGATTCAAAACTTCAAAGGCAAATATATCACCGTGTAACTTAACATTAAAACTCAAGAGGTTAATTTCCAACTGGGAAGTTTACATCCTTCTCATTACTTTTCAATGGTGCAGCATGTTTGGCTAAAAGTTTTGAAAAGGGAAATGTTGATTATAATTAACTTTTTTTCCAAACATGTTTGAATAACCTTTTATTTACTTTTAAATAAATAATATTAACTATTTTGAAAGAAACTTTTACATGGTTTCGAAGAAAATAAATCTCTTAACTCCATGCTAATATAATATGTTATTTATTTTTAAAACTTAATTGTTTACTTATAAGTTATTAACCTTAGCCAAACACGCTTGTAGCCTAATATGAATGGTAGAATCAAAACATTAAACAAATAAAACTATATCAGATTCACAAGTTTCCTAAACCTATAAATTCCAGCAACATTAGAACTAACATCAAGCATGGGGCATCATCTAGTAAATTATGATTCTTCAAAAAGAAAAGATAATCCGAAGCAAATGAAGAAAGAAATAAGGGATAGTAACCCAAATGCCATTTTACAATGTAATGATCTCATGTTTTCAAGGAAATCATCATAGTAAGGGAAGGACGTACCAATAAGACATTACAGCTGGTTGATCTACAATGCTTTCACAGCCACCAAAGGAAGGGGCTATGTACAGAATTTTCAGGGAACAGATAAATTTTGCAGCAGTTAGTAAATCTCCACCAACCTGATCAAATTCCATGATAAACTCTCAGATGAGTTGCTTCAGAAACATTTAACGAGATTCAGTGGCTCTATCAATACTGACCTCACAACTAACCACGCCACCACAACCCTTCGTCTGCTTCTTTGCAAGTTGATGTTCTGGATGACTTGTTAAATCCTAATCTATAAATAGAGTTTTGTTAACTATTGTGCAACTGGTACTTCCACCATATAAGCCATACATAACTAAATTTACACAAATGCAACACGTTTAATGAACCAAGATAAAAAAATTTAAGCTGAAATATACCTTGGGATGTTCCTCTAAAATCTCGGCCATCCTCAGTGCTGTAGTGTTTTGTTGCTGTACACAAAGATGCAAAGTCTTCATGCCTCAGATGATCAGATATGCTGCAATCTGATAAAATGAATTTAAACTTGCTTAACATGATACAGACA